AAGTATTTATACACAGGTTAGTATGAGCATAGTAAGCCCCAATGAAACAAACTTGCTCTTGCTGAGGATGGATTACTTCTATTACCATTCTCTGCTAAATGTAACAAGAGATTTTTGGAGAAATAAATGGCTGCTCCTATAACTCAGGCAGGAAATACATAAGATTAGCCTTGTACATCTTTCTGTATCAAAAAGTAAAATAACAGCATAAAACGCAGGAACTGTTGTAGAACTCCAATAATAAAAGTAAAATAACAGCATAAAACACAGGAACTGTTGTAGAACTATCTGTGCAACAACCTAAACAACTTAACTTTGAATGATGATTCAAAATGTAGAATATCCCTGTCTTGTACAGATTCTGAGAATTAAAAAAAAATTGAGGAAGGAAGTAAAGAAGAGAGAAATCTTAGGGACATAATACCCTGCTGTTTGGTGATGAGTGGCCTGTGTTGACCTGTTTCCCAACAGTACTCTATGGAAAGGAAGACAAGCAAGTCATGGAGAAAGTTGACCAGTACTTCCTCAGCTGGATGATGAAAGCCAGCACCACCAGTCACAAATCAGTGCTGTTAGCATTTCTGCTTGATACAGTATGACGAAAACTGACCTCTTCCAGTGTAGTTTTCTTCCCAATAACTCATCACTCCAGTCTAGCATTAAGAAAAACAACAGAAGCCGGGCGGTGGTGGCGCACGCCTTTAATCCCAGCACTCGGGAGGCAGAGCCAGGCGGATCTCTGTGAGTTCGAGGCCAGCCTGGACTACCAAGTGAGTTCCAGGAAAGGCGCAAAGCTACACAGAGAAACCCTGTCTCGAAAAACCAAAAAAAAAAAAAAAAAGAAAAACAACAGAAAAAGTCTAGTAATGGGCTATCCTATAAAAAACAAATCTGACCAGTATTCCTACAATTTTCATGATCGTGAAAAATGAGGAAAATCTGAAAAATTGCCAAGAGGAGCTTAAAACTACATGACAACTAAAAGAAATACAGTAACCTCAATGATGTCTTAAACAGAAAAATAACATTAGGTAGAAACTAAGGAAATTGTAAATAAAGAATGGGCTCATTAACAATAATGTAACAACACTAGTTTATTAATTATAATGAGTATAACATACTAATGTAAGATAGTGTCAGAAACTGGATATGGAGTATAAGGACATTCTATTTAATCTCCATTTTTCTGTAAATCTAAAATTGTTCTGAAAAATAAAGTCAAATTTACAAGGCTTTTTTACAAGTTACAAATGATACAGAGAGTATAATATAGAAAGTTCAAAATGTACAATCAAAACTCCATATTACACAGTGATAGAAGGAGATTTTGTTTTTCTGTTTCATAAGCATGCTTATCTTATTTTAGGGCCTCCCAATATCTGTATGTCTCTCTATATATGTATGTGGTATAAATACATGTGTATGTTGTAGATATACACACACCTATATGTATACATTATATGTGTATATTTTTGCAGCAGAGAACCTAGAACCAAGAAAGAACTAAGACAATTTCTTGACCAGAAGTCCTTTTTATTTTTAAAAACTGTTTTTATCATGGGGCTGGGGAGATGGCTCAGCAGTTAGAGTGCTGGTTATTCTTTCAGAGGACCCAGGTTTGATTCCCATAAAATAATAATAATATCTACACATAAAATAATATTTTTTAAATACTGAAAAATAAAAATATATTTGTCAGAAGGAACAGTCAGTATGGCTCTTTCTTAATTGCTGAGAAACTTGGGACCTGTTCTTACATATTCCCTTCCCCCTTTTATAAACCTGTTAAATTTATCTTTATTGAAAATAATCTTTTTCATATAATATATTTTGATCACAGTTTTCCCTCTTTCATCTCTCAGATCCTCCCCACCTATCCAACTCCATAGCTTCTTTCTCTCTCTCTAGGAAACAAAGAGGCAAATAAAGAAACCAGAGGAAAAGAAAAAGCACAAGAAACATGCACACACAGACACATACACCATACACAAAAACAAACCCCATAAAAACACAAAATCCGAAACCGTAATATATAAGCAAAAGACCAGCAAGAGTGTTTAAAAATGCCCAAACAAAGCAATATGGAGCAAAAAGTTTACAAAAGTACCATTGTGTTTGTTTTGTGTTGGCCACTTCCTGCTGTGTATTGGGCTAATCTGAAGTCTCACGCTGCTTTCTAAGGTTAAGTGTTAGAGCTAAAGATTCCACTGCTTAGTAACTTTAATCATGTTTAATGTATTTCTTCATATATTTCAGTGACTAGATCATTCATTTCCTGGCTGTCTACTTTTCTGTTCTAATGTGAATTCCTTCCTAATTTTTAAAGTGAAAACTATGTTAAATAACTTTTCCCTCTTCCTTCCTTTTTGTATTATGTTTAAAGAATACATTGGATCTACCTCTGTAGGAAAAATTTAAGGATCCAAAGCAGTATTGTTGGCTTCAGCATGGTGTTGTATAGCAAGTTTGTTTGTAGAGCTTTCTCATCTTCCATGACTGAAGCAACTCCCCCCCATTTTCCCCTTCCAGTAACTTACCATTGTTGACTTTTAGCTTCAATGAGTTGGACTACTTTAAATGCTTTGTCCTAGTAAAATAATATAATATTTGTCCTCCTGTCACTTAGCATATACTCCTAAAAGTTTATCTGTGTCATAGCATATGATAGTGTTAATGGAAAACAAAAAAATACAAGTTTTACCTCGAAAAGGATGAGGTAGTTTATTCTTGAGCCAAATATCAGTGACTATGACCTAGCAATACAAATTCAGGTTACCCACATCCATGCTGCAAGATGGTAACAGTTTCGTGACTTTTTATAGTAACGAAAGAACAAAGAGACTCATAAATCAAGGTATTTTCAAGTACGTTGGTGGAAATATCAGGTAGGTGGGTTACAGCAAATTGGAGAAATCTGCTATGGACCTCATGCTTTCTGATGGCATTCTCAGCGTTTGGGTGGGTGAAAGGAAGCTAGTGATCTGTGAATACATTTCAGAAGATTTCACTTGTTAATCACAAGCATGGTGGGTCAGACACAGAGATGGGCAAGGAACGGATAGTAAGGGTGGCTAAAGATAGCTCAAGGTAATAAACTATAATTAGGTTCTGGGCCTGCATCATCCCAACCCCTCCACAGTCATTGAAGTTCTGATTAGTTTTCAGCCTTTTACAGGGTTCAGCATATGGTATGGTTTCTTTCCAGAAAATCTCATTCACAGTAGGATTTTCCTTTTAAAGATTAATATTCCAGTCTGTGTATATGCTACCCTCTCTTTATCCATTTGTCAGTAGACATTTCATTCTTTTCTTATTTTCCTCCATGTATTTTCTTTGTGATTACTGTAAATAAAACAATATTTTAAGCTGATAATATATAAATTAAATAACATATAAGATATTTTGTTCTATTAAAATTTCAATAGCATCCTATTACTAATTGATCAAATATTTTCCTAAGGTTGTTAGTCACAGATTGTTGTTGTTTTTTACTTCTGTTTTCTTCATGGTCTCTCTTTTCTCTCATTTGCTTTTTTGCCCCTGTTTTCTATCCTTTACATTAGAAGCCTTTCTCATATGCCTGATAATCCCTGTCCTTATTTCTGAGTGTAAAGTTGTTTAGAAGCTCTGAGATCATGGCCTTTGTGTACTTTGAATTCAAGGTGATGTTTTATAATCCTAGCACTTAGGAGGATTGTGAGTTCTAGGCCAGCCTGGGGTGTATAGTGAGACTCTGTCTCCAAATGAAAATAACAAAATAGTAATAACAATGAACCAGATGATCTGGTTGGATCATTTGTTGGAGAACTCCCCTATTCCAAGTCAGTATTTTTGTCTTTCTTGGGGATTAGTTCCCCTAGAGGAGACTGTCCCTGTGCTTTCTTGCAGAGGAGCTACCCGTGTTCTAATAGAGGAATGGTGGTCAGATATAGGTGGTCCCAGTATTTGGTATGCAATCTTCAGTCTCCTTGCTTTCAAAAAGCACTACTCTTGACCTCAGCTATATGAGACATTCCACACTTTCTGACAATTGACCTTCAATACTCTACCAGGATTGGTGAGTTGCCCTCACCCAGTGCTATCATTGCAGAGGGGCTAAAGTTCTAATTCATTTTGCAACAGCTTTCAACTTACCATCCTCATCTTAACCCTATCTAATCACATCTATTTCAGAGACACTCGAAGCTATCGGTTCTTGAAGTGTTTGTGCATGCATTCGTTTTTCTTTTTTCCTCATTTGTATATTTATTTAATTTTTAGACAAGATGTCACTATGTTGCCCAGACTGGACTCTTGTCTCAGCTCAACCTTCCTAGTTGTTAGAACTATAGATTTTCATCACTGTGCCAACTTTTAAAACTTTTTTTTATGTATATGTGTTGTATATTTGTGAGGATTGTGTGTGTGTGTGTGTGTGTGTGTGTGTGTGTGTGTGTGTGTGTGTGTGTACACACATGCACATACATAGAGGCCAGAGGTCAATGTCACGTCTTCCTCTATTGCTCTCCACCTTACTTTTTGAAATAGTGTCTCGCAGAGTTTAGAAACCAACTAGCTCGACTGGCTGGCCAGCAAGTGCTGGGGATCCACCTAGCTTTATACATGAGGTACTAGGGATTGACAGTCAGGCCCTCACGTTTGTGCAGCAAGCACTTGTAACCACTGAGCCACCTCCCTGGCCTACAGCTGACTTTGGAAGACTTTTAAAGGAGATTGAATGTGTTCTTGGATTGTCTGTCCCAAGGGTTTGCTAGCGCGCTTTGTTTGATGTGCTCAGTTCCTACTCATTCATTTCTTTTATATCCTTCAGAACATTGTTGCTGTCACCTTCTTTCTGAGTTCTTTCTGACTTGGTTTGTTTCAGGCCTTGTAGTTTAGAGTTTTCTGGAGAGAATAACGTTAGATGACTGTTCAGTCTCCTATCTGAAAGTAATTCAGGCCGTAATGAAAGAGTTGCTTTCTTTCTGTGATATTTTTTGTCACTTTTCAATTTGTATTAGGTGCTATACCTGAAGAACCTTAGTCCTCAGGTGAAAGAAAGAGACCTTGTCTCATTATTTGCTCGGTTCCAGGAGAAAACAGGACCACCCATTCAGTTCCAAATAATGACTGGACGCATGAGGGGACAGGCTTTCATCACCTTTCCCAGTAAGTAACTTCAACTAGATAATCACTCCATTGCAGCATCAGTTCATGTGAGCTACCTATTACCTTGCTGAATTAGATACAGCCTTAGCTTACGGAAGGTATTCCTAGATCCTACTTCCTATACTTACTTCCTCGTCTCTATGGATACTGTATTACCGCCTTACCCCAGTGTCCTAAATTTCCCATGTTTTGACATTTCCTTTCTACCCTACCAATGTTTATTTATTTTCTTTTTATTAACAGTACTATTTCTACTCTATATTATAATAGAATTATTCATAGTTAATATATTGGTATTGTTATCAGAACACATATAGTTATGCCCTATTCCTTTAGGACTAAGTGATTTTAAGCTAATTAATTGATTAATCATTACCAATTCATAGTTATTTTAAGATGATACATTCTTCCAATATCACTTGCATGTCAGTGCATGGCTTGTGTTCTAATCCAAATGCACGAATAATACAGTAGTTCTGATTTCAATAATAAGTTAACCAATATGTCTTTTGTGGGAAGAAGCTAGATATGACATATCTTTCATTGCCTCTAAATTTAAATACTCTGCTAATTTTTATGTGGGCAAGTGATTTTACACATGAAAACTGCCGATCCCCTTTTCATTGCTCTCATATAACCTTGTGCTGTCTTTTCTATCTCATTGAAGATTTGTAGATCCCTTGTACCATTGGTTTTCAGTCTTTAGAAGTGAGAATTCCTATTAAGTTTTTTAAAATTTTGTGAATTTTCACAGAATATATATAACCTACTAATTGAAAGATGCATAATACAAAAGCTTTATATTATTATGTGTACATGTTTGTATAGTATATATGTGTACATATGTTCATGTGTGTACATATGCATGTGTGAACTTGTATGGGCGTGCATGTGGAGGCCAGAAGCTAACCTATAGTGTCTGTCTTCCTCAGTTGCTCTTCCTCCTTAATTTTCTCCCTGAACTGAGAGCTCATTGGTATGGCTAGGCTGGCTGGTCAGTGAGGTACAAGGAATTACCTCCCCAGCTCTAGCATTACTGGTACATGCTTCCAGTACCAGGGATCCAAACTCAAGTCTTCAGGCTTGCATGGCAAGCATCTTGTTACTAGAGCCATCTTCCCAGTCCCAGCTTTACACTTCTTAATTTGTGGCTAGTTTACTAATCCTAACAGCTATAGTACACACTTGAAAATCTGTGGTATATCTGAGACAAAGTGATCTCAGTATTGTCTACTTACAATTCCACAGACTCTTGTCCAAAGTCTACCTCCTCTTTATTTCTTACATATGGTCTCTGAGGCTCATATTTTGAATATTCCTGCTATGCACTCTATATTCTCAATTTAGAATATATACACGAATTTTCTGTATACCAGCAAAAGAAGTTCATTATCCCAGTTAGGATTCCCACAAGCACTTTCCCTCTAAAAGAAAAAAAGTGGCTAAGTATGCTCAATAATGTAATAACTTCTATTATTTGTGTAACAATTTTGAAAAAATTGTTTTTCATATCTATATCTAAGATAGAGGCATGTTTATAATTATGTTTAACTTATATTTCTTCAGTTCACTCCCTATATATCCTTTTTCTTCTATATCTTTGAATCAAATACACATTTTGAGGGTCTTTTGTCATTATTATTATTATTATTATTATTACCCATTAATTTAATCTTGCTAGCATACAAATTGGGGGTTATAAGCATGATAAAAACGTCTAACATCAGTATGATTTTATAGCAAACCAATCCAAATTAACCTTGTAATAATAATTGAGTGATTAAGTGCTATGTAATTTGATGCATTTTTCTTATTTTTTTCCAGATAAAGACATAGCATGGCAAGCATTGCATCAAATAAATGGATATAAACTCCATGGGAAAATATTGGTGATAGAGTTTGGAAAGAACAAAAAGCAACAGTCAGTTGTCCAGGGTGCTTCCCTTATAACATCTGCTACAAATAGGAGTGCAGAAATCAGTGGTTGCTAGAGTGCATATCAACACATTTGGACATATATATGTGTATAAGCATACACACTGATCTTTCTTTCATCATAATCTAAGATCTACAATATATATATACATAGAAATTTGTTTAAAAATTAAGAGGAAATATTAGTAATTAAGACACTGGCTCTCAGCATTTAGAGAACTGGTAGAAATATTTTCCATAATTAAATACTGTATAGTCTAGAAAAAGACTATAAAATTGACACTATCCTGAGTATTAAAGATAATAATCAAGCACTTTATAGGACAGATAATACCCTGAACATTAAGATTATATGAAAACCTTTAATTCTCAGGATATGTTACACAGGATTGTTCTGGAGATTCTGAAAGTTCTTTAATTTAATGTTTAGTCCTAGAGATAACACTTTTTCTGGGACTGTTTCCTATATACAAATATTTAAAACTAATTCAGTGTTAAAATATTTATTTACTAGAACTCACTGTTTTGTCTGAACTTTCAACAGTTACAGTAGGTAGATTTATGAGTTTATCCACATTTTTTTTTAGTTTTTCCAGACAGGGTTTCTCTGTGTAGTTTTGGTGCCTGTCCTGGATCTCGCTCTGTAGACCAGGCTGGCCTTGAACTCACAGAGATCCACCTGGCTCTGCCTCCTGAGTGCTGGGATTAAAGGTGTGAACCACCACCACCTGGCTTTATCCACATATTTAATGATTGCTTCCACATTAAGTTTTCAGAGTTCTCAAAAAGATATTGACATCTTTTAAACCAAAATATTGGTAATCTCATGATACTATTGAATTCAAAACAATAGACATTAAACATGGAGTAACTGCCTAATATATATTAAACATTAGGTGTATGAACTTTTGAGAGAGAACAAATTAGCAAAGAATACTAAAAGGACAAAGAAAGAAAGTTCTATACTTTAGAAGATAGGCATCCTGCCTCAAATCCCCTAGTGATTTGTTTATAGTTATTAAAGAATAGAAACACAATAGAGTATAGACGAGATAGTACCCGCTTTGGAGTCAGACCTGTGATCTTCATAGTCACACCTGTTTACTACCCTTAAATTCAAAAGTCACTTCACCTGAACCTCATTTATCTCATCTATAAAGTAGAGTAATAGTGCTACTTACCTCACTGAGTAAGGGTTAAATGAGATTCTATTATCCAAGGGAAAAAACGAAGGACATATGGGAAACTCCACTAAGCACATCAAACAATATATAATAAGAATTCCGTTTAAAAAACAGAGAAAGAAGCCGGGCGGTGGTGGCGCACGCCTTTAATCCCAGCACTCGGGAGGCAGAGCCAGGCGGATCTCTGTGAGTTCAAGGCCAGCCTGGACTACCAAGTGAGTTCCAGGAAAGGCGCAAAGCTACACAGAGAAACCCTGTCTCGAAAAACCAACAAAAAAAAAAAAAAAAAAAAAAAAAAAAAAAAAACAGAGAAAGAAAGGTGCGTAAAAATACTGCAAGAGGACCAGCAAAATGGCTTAGTGGTTAAAGACACTCGCCACCAATCATGAAGACCTGAGTTCAAACCCTAAGACCTACATGATAGAAGGAGAGAACCAATTCCAGTAAGTTGACCTCCAGAAATATGCTATGGCATGTGTACTCCCACATATGTATGTACAAAAATACACATAAATAAATATTTCAAATTGAGCGAGAAAGATTTAACCATTGCAAAAGCCATGCAAACCCCAGCTACATTATAATAAAATACTGAAAACTCAAGAGACAGAAAATCATGACAATAACCAAAGAAAACTGAAATATTATTTATCATGAAACTCTAAGTAGATTAACGATTAACTTCTCATCATAAATAGGGATGGTAGCCAGGGCACATTCTTATACTTTCAGCTATTCAGGAGGCTGAGGCAGGAGGATCCGTTGAGCCCTGATTCAAAACCAGCCTGTGTAAAGCAGTGGGACCCTGTCTCAAAAACTAAAACCAAGAAAAAGTGACATAATTAAGATCTCAGAAACAGTGGAAGTCACAGTGAAAAGTAAAATATCCTCCACATAAGTTTTAAAAGCTGGAGAATGTGTTGCCAGCAGACCACACAAGACATGCAAAAGGACCTTTGTCAAGCTGGAAGCAAGTGACCTTCAAGAATAATCTGAATCTGTACTTAGAATAGACAATGGGGATTGTGTGACTATAAAAGATAATCTTGAATACTTTTTCCTTTATTCCATTAACTTTATTTATTTATTTATTTTTGGTTTTTAGAGGCAGGGCTTCCCTGGCTGTCCTGGAACATGCTCTGTAGACCAGGCTGGCCTCAAACTCAGAGATCCACCTGCCTCTGCCTCCCCAGTGCTGGGATTCTGTTAACTAATTTTTAGAAGTTATATTAAGTTGTATATAGTTGCATTGTATCTCCTGTAACATAAAAGTCAATGTATTTGCCAATAACAGACAAAGAAGGTGGGAAAAAATGCTTATTTTACTAAAAAAAAGCATAAATTCATAGGAACAGATATAACAAAGGAGAAATAAGATGACTAATTTTAGAAGCTGTAAACAATTCAACTTCTTACAAATAGCAACATTGCATTAAGTGATAATTGTAATGAATTGTTAGCCCTGCAGCATGTAGAAATAGTCTGCATAGCTGTCATGCCCCAAACTCTGAGGAAAAGGGAACAAAAATACCACTAGAGATAAAGATCCATATTTATTGTTAAAAAGGTCAATCTTTTAAGATGTAACAGTTTTAATCATATTTTTATAACAACAGAGCCCTAAAACAACCTGAAGCAAGGTAGCAAAGTAAAGAACGACGGGAGAAGAGACACATCTCTGAAAAGGTGGAATACTCTTCATTTCTACTAAAAGGAGTGCTGCACAGATGCTAAACAAGGAAGTAGAATACTTCAACACTGAGCTGAGTAGATCTGAAAAACAACTGTAGAACAGTCTACCTACAACACGAGAATATAGATTTTATCCCATGCGTATGAAACATCTTTAGGCTAGATCATGAGCTAAACTACAAAACAGGCCTTAATAAATATAAATAGACTGAAGTAATATAAAACATGCCCTCTGACCACCTGGAAGGAAGTTAGAAATAAGTAACATTAAATTGGGAAACTCACAAATATGTGGAAATTAGTCACACTTAAATAGCAAGTAGGTCAATAAAGAAACACAAAAGAAAGGCTGGAGAAATGGCTCTGGGTAAGAGTGCTTGCTGCTCTTGTAGAAGACCTGAGTTTGATTCTCAGTACCTACTTCTTATCTATGTGGGAAGTGTTTAGAGATAAGCCTCTTTAATGAGAAAAAAGATCAGCAGTAATTCGGTTTATATTCTAAGCTGTAGGAAAAGAATAGCAAACTATACCTAGAACAAACAAACAAAAAAGCATGCAAAATAAAAAGAGTAGAATACAATAGAAAAAAAGCAATGAGTCTAAGCAAGAAACTGGCAAACTTTTTGCTAGACATAGCAGAAAAAGGTAGACTAATTATTAGAATGAGAAATAAATAAGAATGAGAAATAAATAAATGAGGGGATTATTGCTACTGACCTTTGGGAAATAGAAGGTGTTTGAGGGAATACTGTTATACTTGTGTTTCAATAAATTAACCTACCCAAAGTGAACAAATTCCTAGAAAGATAAAGTACCAACAACAAAATATAGGAGGTCAGAATAGACATAATAACTAATAGGTTAAATAAGCAGCAAGAAAGATAACCATAAAGAAAAGCCCAGACTTAAATTGCTTTTTATTTGAATTCTACTAAATGTTTAATGAAACAGTAGTCCAATTTCTTCACAAGCTGTTTCAAAAAAAAAACACAAAACAAAAACAGGGAACACTTCTGAGATATACTACTACAGCGTGGAAGAACCCTGAGAATATGTTCAGTGAAAGAAGCCAGTCACTGCTGATGGCAAATTGCAGGATTTCATGTATATGTAGATAAAGTGTCCAGAATTGGTAATACCCTATATAGGGTAGATAGGGATGATTAGAGTGGATGGGGATGCTTTGCAAGTAGATGAAAATGTTCATAAATCACATTAATGGTTGTCTAATGATGAATATACCAAGTGGATGGATTTTGTGGAATGTGAATTAAATCTCAGTGAAACTCACAAAAATAGGAACTTGGACATTATCCAAATGTCCATCTGTCAACATGAGTGACTTATGGCACATCCATTTAGTGGGATACTATAAAGCCATTAAAGCAGTAGACTCGATCTATGAATATATTGTGACTTGTACTCATATCCAAGATTTTATAGTAAGTTATAAATTAAGATGTGTGTATGTATAAGATGTATGTATAGTAAGGATACATTTTTAAGTAAATAGTTCATGTGCATAGTTTGTAGAGATAATTTCAAAACAAATATAGGAAAGAAATAGGGAATGTATATATAACAAGTTGTATACCTTCTGGAAATGGGACTGGACAAGCTAAAAAGACACCTTCACCTGGTGAACATTTTTAGATGGTGTCATTTGGAGTGGTTTTTACCTTTTTCAGTATTTTTTAAATTAAAATAATTTTTAAATATTCTTACAAACACTTGGCTTCCAGAATATTTGTCAGACCCACTATGAGGAGTTCTGACTTTACTCAGGACAAACTTCTATTCATTTGCTATATTGCTCACCTGATTAACGCTCCAATTTTTGATAGCGTTTAGAGGATGAGAAGTGAAGGACCCTGGTTACAGCCTCTTGCACATGTTACCCAGGGATGTACTTCTCAAGAAGCCAGGCTTCCCAGAAGGGACTCCTTCCTCTTAGGTGGAAAACCTTACCTCCTCCTTACTAGACCTACAGACCACTTAAAAATGGAGAAAAATAAAATCGAGGATACCTTTCAACTGGTGCAGAGATACAGAAACTTGTGTATCCAGATGACGAAATTCTACTCAGCAATAAAAATTAAGGAAACATATATGCAACAACTTGGATAAATCTTAAATGTAATTTGCTAAGTAGAAGAAGCCAGACTCAAATGGCTGCTTACTGTTATATTTCATGTGTGTGTTCTCTGGAAAGGGTGAAGCAATAAGGCAGAAAAACCAGTACATACCAAGTGTTGGCACAAGGCATTTTTTTTAAATAATGGGAACTTTATGTTGTTTATAGTTACAATGTGTATGTGTTGGTTTAAACTCAGAGAATTATACACCAAAAGAATGAATTTTAATGTGTGAATTTTAAAAAAAAATAAAAGTAATTTATTGAAACAAAGATTTGGAAAGAATCATTTCCATTAACTAGTATTGTGTGGTCTCTGATTACTACTAAAAACCCAAAGCCACTTTCTCTATTGCTTCTCATAGATGAGCCCAAGCCACTAAATCAAAATCTCTTTATTACTTTTCTATTGCTGTGATAAACACCATAACCCAGGTAACTTATAGGAGGAAGGGTCTATTTGGGGCTTACACTTCCAGAGAGATAGGAGTCCATCACCATTAAGGCACAGAATTGAGGAGCAGGCCAGAAGACATGGCACTGAAACAGTAGCTTAGAGCTCACATACTGATTCACAAACAGGAAGCAAAGAGGCACACTGGAGATGGTGTGAGTCGTGAAACCTCAAAGCCTATCCCTAGTGAAGTACATCTACCACTAAGGCCACACTTAATCCTTCCCAAATAGGTTCATCAAATAGGGATCAAGTATTCAAACATATGAGCCTATGAGGCCAATCTCATTCAAACCACCACAACCTCTAGAGCTGGAGATATAACCCACTAGTATTACACTTGTTTAGCATGTATGAAGCCCTAGGTTCAATCCTCAGTACCACCTAAAATTAATTTTTTGTAAAATCTGATCCAGATAGAGTGATGCGTGCACTCAAGACCAGACAGCAGGAAGATTGCTGGCAAACGCTAACCCGAGCTGTATGGTGAGTTACAAGCCAGCCTGTGCTACAAATAACAACTTTTCTAAAGAAAAAAATTTGTATACATACACAATTTTGTCATTAAAAAACTAGGAAATGTATTTGTTGCCCCAAGAGCTAATATTTGTTCACATACAATATTTATTTTAGTGAAAGAGTCACTGAATAGTACCAAACTTTTTTCTTTTTCTTTTAGTATTTTTTATTTTTTTATTTTATAATTTAATTTAATTTTATATATCAGCCACAGATTCCCCTGTCCTCCCGCCTCCTGCCCCCCTAGCCTCCCCCCAGCCCACCCCCCATTCCCATCACCTCCAGGGCAAGGACTCCCCTGGGGATTCAGCTCAGCCTGGTAGATTCAGTCCAGGCAGGTCCAGTCCCCTCCTCCCTTCACCCAGGCTGAGCAAAGTGTCCCTTCGTAGGCCCCTGGCTCAAAACAGCCAGTTCATGCACTAAGGACAGGTCCCGGTCCCACTGCCTGGGGGCCTCACAAACAGTTCAAGCTAATCAACTGTCTCACTTATCCAGAGGGCCTGGTCCAGTTCCATGGGGGCTCCTCAGCTATTCATAGTTCATGTGTTTCCACTAGTTTGGCTATTTGTCCCTGTGCTTTTTCCAATCATGGTCTCAACAATTCTTGCTCATACAATCCCTCCTCTTTCTCGCTGATTGGTCTCCTGGAGCTCCACCTGGGGCCTGGCCGTGGATCTCTGCATCTGCTTCCATCAGTCATTGGATGAGATTTCTAGCATGACATTTAGGGTGTTTGGCCATCCAATCACCAGAGTAGATCAGTTCGGACTTTCTCTTGACCATTGCCAGTAGTCTATTGTGGAAGTATCTTGGTGGATTTCTGGGGACCTCTCTAGCACTTTGCTTCTTCCTATTCCCATGGGGTCTTCATTTATCATGGTCTCTTTTTCCTTGTTCTCCCTCTCTGTTCTTGATCCAGCTGGGATCTCCCGCTCCCTTAAGCTCTCTTTCCCTCAACACTTGCCCTTCATTACCACCCCCCCCCCCCCATGTCCAGTTTGCTCATGTAGATCTAATCCATTTCTCTGTCACTGGGCGATCCCTGTGTCTTTCTTAGGGTCCTCTTTTCTAGGTAGCCTTCCTGGAGTTGTGTGTAGCAGTCTAGTCATTTTTGTTTTACATCTAGTTATGGTGATATTTTATTTGTACTAAAATGTTATTTGTATGTTAATAAATAAAGTTGCCCAGGGACCAGAGCTATTAGCAAGCCTTAGGAAAGCTAGGCGGTGGTGGTGCATGCCTTTAATCCCAGCACTTGGTAGGCAGAGCTAGGTAGATCTCTGTGTGTTCAAGGATACAGCCAGCATGGAGACACACGCCTGTAATCTCAATACCAACCATAGAAGACCTGGAGGTCTGTACAGACAGGCAGTGACTAGGAGGTCATGTGGTTGGGTTTACAACCAATGAGAAGGCAGAACAGAAACTCTATAAAAAAAAAAAAGACAGACACAGGAAGTAGGTCTCTTTCAGAGAGGCAGGACCACCGTGAGAGGAAGGGTAAGGTTTTTAGCTCTTAGCTCTGACCTTTTGGCTTTCTTCTTTGCATTGGTTCTGTGTTTCTTATTTAATAAGAAGGTTGGTTTCATCTACATTTGGTGCCCAATGTGACAAGAATCCATTAAAAACTGCTTGGCTTGGCTTGGCAGCAGGTCCGGTTTCCCACCTGGGCGGCCCGGCTCCCTAGCTCAGGCCCAGGGTGGCTTGGTCTCAGGCCGGACTGACCTTAGCCCCAAGTGGTTACACACAGCTGGAGCTACTTGCTTAAAGCCGGTGCTAGAAACAACTCAGGCCTGCCCTGCCAAACAGGGCCCCTGCCTGTAAAGCCAATGCACATGGTCAGAGCTTAAGGAAGCCGGAGCCCCAGCTTAGCTCAAGAGGGAACACGTGGCTGGATTTAAGCTTTTAGCCAGAACTTGTGGCTATGCTTTCTTGTGTCCCCCCCCCCCGTCTCTCTCTCTCTCTCTCTCTCTCTCTCTCTCTCTCTCTCTCTCTCTCTCTCTCTCTCTCTCACTCTCTCTGGATTCACACCTCGTACACTAGATGGCTATTTTGAAATTCCCTCGGATTTCTACTGTTCTACACAGACTTGGTAAGTCAATTAATATATCAAATATTTTAAAGGAAACTATTTAGAAGATAATTTTTTCCACATTAAAAAAAGGGGTTTTATGTGCACATTGGAAGAAAATTGGGCTTTGTTTGAAATTTTAGGCAGTTTGACAATGGAACAACTATATGGGAAGATTAATATTGATCAAAATATGCACTTTATTACTTTTCTTATCCTCATTTTACTATTTAAAAAGATAGTCAATTTAAGTGCCAGGATAACAGTTTTAGAAAAACCTGTTAAACCTGTAAAATGAGTTATAGAGAAATTCAAATTCAGACAGAAGAAATTAACAGTAAAGTTGTTTCAAAATTGGATCATAAGGTAACAGAAAGAAAGCCTGTTTTCACACAATCACCCTTAATTTATCTGGTATCCGTACAGCAGCTACCTGGTGAAAAGAATGAACAAAATACTTGATTCCAATTGAAATGTTAGACTTATGAAGATTTAAGGAGGCAATAGCATCTTATGGCATGCATTCCCCATATGTAAAGCAAATGTTAAACTCCTGGTCAACATATAATAGGATTCTACCACAGGACTGGCGGGAGCTGGCACAGGCTGTTCTGGAACCCGGACAAAAGCTCCAGTGGCAAATGTGGTTCAAGGAGGAGGCTAAAAATATAGAAAAAAATGGAGGGATAAAGGAACACAAGTCTGCCAGGATCAGCTTATTGGAGAAGGCCAATATGCTGCAGCACAAACACAATGTTTATATGATGTCCAAACCCTAATTTTATGTTGAAAGGCAGCCTTGAATGCATGGGACAAAGTTGAGAAACCAGGAAAAAAAAACGGAGTCATTTACAAAGGTTATACAGGGCCCAAAAGAATCTTTCACAGACTTCTTACAAAGATTGACTTCAGCAGTAAAGAGAATGATCCCAAATTCAGAAGCCAGTTAGATAATAATCGAATCTTTGGCTTTTGAGAACGCAAATGCAGTGTGCAAGAGAATAATTAGGCCGTTAAAGGCAAGATCTGCAGCCTTGGAAGATTGGATTAGAGACACAGTTAATGTTGAGGCTCATGACCATGATCATATGTGGGTAGGAGAAGCAATTTCAAAGGGTTTGAGGAATGTTAGATGTTTTGGATGTGGAAAGCAAGGACATTTGAAAAGGGACTGTAAACAGGTCATTCCTAGAAATAATGTTTCTTCAAGGAACAATAGCAACAGAATGCCCCTTCTTTCTGGATTATGCAGAAGGTGTGATAAGGGAAAACACTGGACCAACGAATGTAGATCAACAAGAGACAGACAAGGTAATCCTTTGCCTCGGTCTTGGGGAAACTCCCAGAGGGGTCTGAGGCAGGCCCCCACAGCAAATCCAGTTCAAACCTTTCCTGCAGTTGTAGAGGAAACCCCTACTCAGAGCAATTAAATAACCAAATGCTTATTGGAATAAATCATGCTGATCAGGATGATGAAACAGAGAGAATAGAAAATTCAGGAAAAAACATAAAGAAAAATTTTTGGCAAACTTCTATTAATGAACAAAGACCAAAATTAACAATAAAAATAAATGGTGTTTTGTTGCCTGGTCTGGTAGACACAGGTGTTGATATTACCATAATTGCACCAGAATTTTGACATCCAACTTGGCCTCTTCAGGTGGTAAACGTTCAACTGTTAGGAATTGGGACATTATCTTGAGTGAAACAGAGTGCAAGATGGCTCGAATGTATAGGTCCAGAAGGACAGAGAGGAAAATTAAAACCATATGTGGCTAACATAGCTATGAACCTGTGGGGTCGAGACTTGTTGCAACAATGGAATACTCAGATTAACATCCCTCCAATCTCAGAAACAAATCATAAACTAGCACATGTTTCTGAGAGAAATATTAGAAGGCATTATTCTGAGTGGTCACCAGCCATCCATATTATACAAGAACAGGGCACAACAACTGATGATCTCCCAAAGACACCAACAGCTCTACCTTTAAAATGGTTAACAGACAAGCCTGTATGGGTTCAGCAATGGCCTTTAACAACAGAGAAACTCCAGGCTTTAGAAGAGCTGGTAGAAGAACAGTTAAATGCTCAGCATATTGAAGAATCAACCAGCCCTTGGAATTCTCCTGTATTTGTTATTAAAAAGAAATCTGGTAAATGGAGAATGGTAACAGACCTTAGAGCAATTAACAAAGTAATTCAGCCAATGGGCTCTTTACAATCTAGAATTCCTTTGCCTATTCTGTTACCAA